AAGTGATGCAAGGCAGCTGTACAACGGCATGTTATGATTTTCTGACTTTGCTAGGATTTTGGAACAAAGTACTCACTCGCATTGACATGTTCAAAAGAGGCTGCAGGATCCTAGCATGAACTTCCACAATGTTGCCCTGGGTTTGAAAGCCCTCTGAGATCGCTTTGATGATGAAAGAGAAGTGTTGGTCAGTGAGGCACTCCAAGAAGGATGCGGTCTCTGTCAAGAGTGGAATGTTGAAGTCGAAAGACGTCACAGACAGAAGAAATGAATGGCTGGTGAGAACTCGAGGGACTCTGGGTTAACAACGAAGGAGGAAGTGGAAAGAGTCATGAAGGGAACTCCTGACTGCCTTCACAGAGAAATGGACAAAAGGTTCACTTGTTTGCATAACATTGATGCCAAGTTTGTGTTCTTTCTTGATTAAGGGACTGTGTTATGATGCTGACAGTAATGACCTAAAGAAGCACAAAAATTTGGGCAAATTCTACAGCCGTGATCTTGATGGACAGCAGCTATATGAGGAAATTTTGGACTGCAGAATGTTGCTATAAAGTCCGGCCCGCACGAAAATATCAAGACCTGAAGAGCTTCTAGAATTTATTGTTCACTATGGAGATGAGAACGTCTTCCCCAGTCTTCGCATTGCTATTCAGATAATGCTAACCAATGCAGTTTCCATTGCCAGTTTTGAGAGATCATTTAGCAAGTTAAAACTAATACTTTAGTATTTGAGAGCCTCCATGAGTCAAGGCAGATTGTGTGATCTTGCTTTGCTGAGACTAGAAAGAGAAGAAACTGAAAAAAATGACTTTGAGCACATCATAGACCAATTTTCATCCGTGAAAGCAAGGAAGGTACAGTTGTAATTTTCATGTAGTGCCCTAATGCGCTAAGTAAAAAATTAACACACTTGTATATTTGAGCTGATGTTATGGTAAAGTTATCCAAAAGATGGGTGTCAGATGTTTGGACAGGGGCACAATTTCAGTGCTTGCCATAGGAACTGTTTTCCATAGATAAGCCTCTGTGTTTTAATGATGTTTTGGGAGCAGGCATTGGATACAAGTTTGAGATCCAGTGTTCCTTAACTTTCATTATGAAATTTTTATTTATTCTTTTAAATTTTTTTGATGGCATGTGTTTTCAGTATTGGAATGCATGCTTACTAAGTGTGTTTAAACTTTTGGTTGGTAATAAGAATTTTGAGAAATATGATCTGGTAATAAACCAAAAAAAAAAAAAAAAAAAACCCAAACCCATTGCCATCGAGTCAAGTCCAACTCATAGCGACGCTATAGCACAGAGTAGAACTGCCCCATAGGGTTTCCATGGAGCACCTGGTGGATTCAAACTGCCGACCTTCTGGTTAGCAGCCATAGCTCTTAACCACTACACCACCAGGGTGTCCTATGATCTGGTAATACAAGCCACCAATAAGGTGAGTGGTACTCTGGTGCCACCGATGTGTGGTATGATAATATACCAATAAGAAGTAAGTAGAAAATTTATTGCAGGCACCTTTCCATTAGGTTGGAGCCCTGGTGGCGCAGTGGTTAAGAGCTTGGTTGCTAACCAAAAGGTCAGCAGTTCAAATCCACCAGCTGCTCCTTGGAAACCCTGTGGGGCAGCTCTACCCTGTCCTATAGGGTCGTTATGAGTCGGAATCAACTATGGGTTTGGTTCTTTTTTTTTTTTTGATTGTCCATTAGGTTACATGGGGAACCTCTGGTTTTCTAAATATGACACAGAAAAAGAAAAACCCATCAGGGCTCCCTAACTATCACACAGGAAAGCCATAATTATGCTTGCAAGCCTTATTTCACAGAAATAAAGGAAAAAAAGGGAAAAGTTTACAAAAATTTACAAAACTAACACAACCAGAAAGCATCACCTTCTAGAATGCTCAACCTACATAACAATGAGGCTCCGACTCTGGTCTGCTGAGCTTCACGCATTTCAAAAGGGATCCACCTTCACACTAAATGCTTTAGAACTGGAATAACGTACTACCTACAAGGTCCAGAGGCATAAAAAGTGGCTGGTATATTGTTAAACCAGTAGTAACTGAAGAGTTAAGTTCGGTGTCCATTGCAGTTCAGCCTAAGTCACTTTTGTCATTGTTGTTGTTAGGTGCCATGGAGTCGGTTCCGACCCATAGCCACCCTGTGTACGACAAGGGGAAACACTGCCGGGTCCTGTTGTTATGTTTGAGCCCATATGTTGCAGCCACTGTGTCAGTCCATCTCCTTCAGGGTCTTCCTCTTTTTCGCAGACCCTCTACTTTACCAAGCATGATGTCCTTCAGGGATTAGTCCCTCCTGATAACATGTCGATCCTTGCTTCTAATGTCACTTTTAGGTTTCCTATCTTACGTTTTACTTCTCTTAAAAAACTTGGATTTTAATTTATCTTCGTAATGTAAGCTTCGCTTTTCCTTTTAAAAATTTGTAATTATTTTCTCATGAGCTTTAATAAATGAATAAAGCAAAACGGAAGCAAAGAAGTGACTCAAACCGAATCAGCTGAAGCGAAAACAGAGGCCTGCTGGTAGGAAACGCTGGCCTGCAGAGGATTCCGGGACGTGTAGTCCAGGAGGTCGGTGAGATTTTTTTTTTTTTTTTTTTTTTTTTTGAGGCGTTTCCGCTTAGGGATTCTGGGAAGTGTAGTCCTGGAGCCGTGTGTAATTGGAGGCACTTCCGCTCCAGGAAGGTGAGGTCGTACCGTGATTGCTCTCGGAGGTGAGTCAGCCTGGAGCCCCGCGATCCTTCTGAGCCTTCTTGCCAGCGGTGACCTGGTCCTCGGCCTCGGGGAAGAGAAGCTGCAGCCACCAGCAAAGGACTGGGTTGGGAGGCAGAGGAGACAGTTTGCGTCCCCTTGTTGGAGCCTCCCGTTTGGAGGCGGGCTCGCTTCATGCCTCGGGTTTGAGGATCTCCCGCGCTCTCTGCGCCCCAGCCCTCCTCCCCAACTACCAGCCACCTCTGCCTCTTCCTCGTGGTAAAATATTGGGCGATTTACCTAATCTGTCCTTGCCTCAGTTTTCTCATCGCCAAGAAGGATTTGTGCCTTCCTAATAGTGTTGCTGTGAAACTTAAAAGAGATAATATATGTAAAGAGCTTAAAGCAGTGTCTAGTGCGTGGTAAAATGCTAGCTGTTATACTTTTAATCCTTTCATAATAATCAGAGACGCGCCCCGTGGCTTGGAAGCTCGTGTGAGCCCGGGATGGGTTCAGAGCTCCAGCTGCGGCGCCACTGGCCCTCCTTTCCGATCCCTGCCCGACCCAGGAGTGTGCCTGGATTCCCAGACTCCTTCTGCCCGCTTGTTTAGGAAGGAGGAGAGGATTCTCTCCTGCTGAATCTGGGGCACGTGCTCTGGTTTGTCCTGAACAGACACACGGTCGTGATCACAGCTTTGCTGAGTGCCTGGCGTGGTGAGGTCTTAGTTGAGTGCTTAGTCTTGTTGTGTTATTACTAATGGCCTCGTGTCGTTAATTTAAAGGTGACACGATTTCTTAGAGTCTTAGTTTTTTATTTGTCTTTATTTACCTTCATGCATATGGGAGACGAGGCTTTGTTGAGGCTCTTCCAGCTTAATAAAATTTGCAAGAGGGAAACAAATCCATGGCAATTTAACTATCGTGACAACAGGAACAATTACAGTGAAACCTGCGAGCGCCAGAATTCTATGGGGCTGCCTTGGTTTTCGGGTCTCACAAGTTGTTCGCCTTTGACAGAGTGCAGTTTTACCACTTTTCTATCGCTCTTTTTAGTGAAAAATATTTGAGTTTTCCTTCTCTGACAGGTTTCCACCTTACACAGGTTCCAGCTTTCACAGGTTTTTCTGTATAGGAGACAACCAGTCAGAATGAGACTTTTCTGAGGGTCAGTGACTTAAGTACGGAGCAATCATTTCTGGATTTTGAGTTTCTTAAAAGATTCATTTTCTGGAAGGCACATTTGCAAGGACAATTTTATGAAGCATAATATCGATGTTAGTTGCCATCACGTTGGCTCCAACTCATGGCGAGCCCATGTACAATAGAACAAAACAAAACAGTGTCGAGTCCTATACCATCTTTAGGATCGTTGGTATGCTCAAGTCCATTGTTGCAGCCATTGTGCATTTTGAGTACCTTCCATCCTAGGGGATTTCCAGCACTATATCAGACAATATTCTGTTGTGAACCATGGGGTTTTCATTGGCTGATTTTCAGAAGTAGATTGCCAGGCCTTTCTTCCTAGTTTTAGTCTGGAAGCTCCAGTGAAACCTGTCCACCATGGGTGAAATACTGGTGGCATATCTTCCAGCATCATAGCAACCCGCAAGCCACCACAGTACAACAAACTAAATAAAGTATAATAACACCTACTTTATCTGAAACTGTAGGAAATAGGGAATACAGGCATTGTTGTCTCTATTTACAAGTGACTGAACTGAGGCACAGAGAGATTAATAACTTGCTCAAGGTTTACACTGTTAGTAAGTGGAAAGTAATAAGTAGAACAACAAAAAAAAGCCAAACCCATTGCCGTTGAGTCAATTCCTACTCATAGTGACTCTATAGGATAGAGTAGAGCTGCCCCATAGGGTTTCCAAGGAGCGGCTGGTGGATTCGAACTGCCGACCTTTGGTTAGCAGCCATAGCTGTAAACCACTGTGCCACCAGGTCTCCAGTAAGTAGAAGTGTTAGAAATTAAATCCAGGCATTTTGGCCCCAGTACATTATACTGCCTGTCTGCTTCTTGTTTCCTCTGAAATACAAGTGAAGGAAGAGTACTCTGGGAGCTACAAGAAGCACTTGGGTTAGGGCTTTTGTGAACAAAGACACCTGACTGATGGGGCTCAGTGGTAGCTAGAACCCAGCCCCTGTTCTCACTAAGCTGTGGGTAACTGTGTGCCTGGAGAAAGGGGACTTCTTTCTGTTCGTGTCAAGCACCACATGGACTAGCAAGGTTTCTAGCATAGCTCTCATGCCGTCTTTCCCTTTCACAGTTCCACCCTCCCAGAACTCTGGCTTTCCCCAGAAGGAATAAGAGAAAAATGACTAGGCTCCAGGTAAGTTGGGTTTGCCTTTCTGTTTCTTAAAGTGACCTCTCATTTCACAAAGATTAGACACAGTTTTCTCCTGCTTGGGAAGGGTAAAAGGTTCCAAAAGGCATTCGATGGGTTGTTATATGCCAGGCTCTTGTTATTGTTTATTTGTAAATAAAAACAGTTGCTATGGAGTTGATTCCAACTCATGGTGACCCCGTGTGTGTCAGAGCAGAACTGTGCTGCATAGGGTTTTCAGTGGCTGATTTTTCAGAAGTAGATCACCAGACCTTTCATCCAGGGCACCTCTGGATGGACTGGAGCCTCTAACCTTTTGATTAGCAGCCGAGCGTGTTAACCGTTTGCACCTAGGAACTCCTTTCGCAAATAATGGTGTAAAAATTAATAGCATTTAAAAAAAAAAAAGGAAATATGTCTCCCACGTATATTATCAACATGTTTACAAATCAGCTGTTTTCATTTTCCCACGTTCGTTTCTATTTAACAAGTATATATTTGCATTTACAAGAACATATTTTTAATGAGGATTTTGAATTTTTTAAATTTATTTTTGTATCTCCTACATTTTAAATAACCACATCATTTTCTATAGTTCACCTAATTTTATTTTTCCCTAGTCGTAGATATTTCTGTGTTTTTTAAATTTCATGATTTTAAAAAACTTTATAATGACAGTTTTCCTGTCAGAAATTCCAATTCTGAGAATTCTGCCTTTTTTTTTTTTTTTTTTTCCTTAAAGTTCCCCGGGACTCAGTTATTTTCTCACATAAATGGTGCCACATATTTTGTGGAAAGAACATCCCAAAGTATTGTTTGGTGCATTCGGGTCCAACCAATACTGAACTCAGGGAAATCCTTCTAGTTGTTTTCAAAGAAGAAGAGCTAGATTCTTCCTTTAATTCTAAGCTAAACCATGTACGTGTTATAAGTATCTGTTTTAATCATTAATGTGTTAACTATATTTTAACTAAGTACATACTTAGTTTTAAAAGCCTAGTAGCACTAGGGGACTTCCCAGGCATATCCTCCGTGGAGCAGCTGTATGAGGATGCAGGTGGTCTTACCTGCTTTTCAACATAAAGAAAAAGGTTTGTGAACCTGCAGATACTTCCCGAAGTCCTCTCAGGTGTTCAGCGGACACTAAAGTTTTTATTGCCAAAGCCAGAGGCTTGAGGTGTTCCAGTCGGGTGAAAGAAGAAACCCACAAAGAAAAGAGAGTTCTCCATTCAGGACCCGTGGCCATGTGCGGGGGCCTGCTGGGTCCTAGCGGATGGAGAATTCCAAGAACGTTGCCCTTGCCTGGTTCTCCTTCTCAGTGCCCGTCTCTTCTTTGCCAGACTAGCTGTAGTCGTTCATCCGTGCTGCAGCTAAAACAAATGCAGATACGAGCAGACTTCAGATAAAAATTTTAAATTTCCATACAAAAAAGCACTGGACACAAAGCTATGAGCCGCATAGGAAATGGGGGTGGGGTGGGGTTTATCGATTATATAGAGTAGAAAAAGGCTTAATATTCTCAATAGGAATCTTACTGACGCGTGTGGTTATTGTGAGGTGCTGTCAAGTCGATTCTGACTCATGGCAACCCCGGGTGTGCAGAGTAGAACTGCTCCGTAGGGTTTTCTTGGCTGTAATCTTAACAGAAGCAGATCGCCAGGCCTATCTTCAGCAGTACCACTGGGGGGGGGGTTCAAACCACTAGTCTTTAGGTTAGCAGTGGAGCCTAAACTGTTTTTGCCACCTAGGAACCCCTTACTGATGCGTAAGATCCCCCAGTAGGATTATGAGCAAAGGGAATGAACAGGCGATATATGAAAAAACATATATAGCAAAAGAGGCTTTTTTAAAAATACATTAACTGGAAATATCTTACACACAGCTCTCTTTACCACCTATCAAATTACCTAAAATTTGAAAAATTAGATAATGTCCAGTTTTGGCCAGAATATGGAGAATCAAGGATACTTCTAATCCCTTGCGGGAAGAATTAATTGGGAAGATTGCCATTGTACTAGCAAAATTAATAAGCGTCTATTTTTTGACAATGCAGTTACCACTTGTGGGAATTTATCCCAAGAAAATGACCAGACAGGTTGACTGCGATCTATGTAAAAATATGTTTTTTTGCAGTATTGTTTATAATTTTCAAACATTTTAATTGTACACATTTGGAGTGGTTTATTAGATTATAGCTCATCAGTTTTCTGTAATACACGTAGCCATGAATGGGATGAAATAGATGATGATAGTAATAGTAATGACTGACATTTATTGAGCAGTTAGTATATGCTAGGCTCTGTTCTAAGCGCTGGACAATATATTCACTCATTTAATTCTTTCAAGGAGACTGTGATTTAGGTACTACTATGAAGTGTTAAAAAGCAAAGATGTCACCTTGAGGACTCAGGTGCACCTGACCCAAGCCATGGTATTTTCAGTCGCCTCATATGCATGGGAAAGCTGAACAATGAATAAGGAAGGCTGAAGAAGAATTGATGCCTTCGAACTATGGTGTTGGCGAAGAATATTGAATATACCATGGACTGCCAGAAGAATGAACGAGTCTCTTGGAAAGAGTATAGCCAGAACGTTCCTTAGAATAGAGGATGGCGAAACTTCATTTCACACACTCTGGACGTGTTATCAGGAGGGACCAATCCCTGGAGAAGGACATCATGCTTGTTAAGGTAGAGGGTCAGCAAAAAAGAGGAAGACCCTGAAGGAGATGGACGGACACAGCGGCTGCAACAATGGGCTCAAACATAGCAATGATTGTAAGGACGGCACAGGACCGGATACTGTTTCGTTCTGTTGTACACGGGGTCACTATGAGTCGGAAGCTATTCAACAGCACGTAACAGCGTAAAGATGAGAAACTTGTCCAAGATCATAAAGCTAGTAGTGGACAGAACCTTGGGGTGTGAACTGAGGCAGTCAATCCTCACAGCCTGTGCTCTAACCTTGACATTGTGAGTGCTGCTGCAATTGAGTTATGGCTTGTTACTTGAGAACACGGAGAATGAACTTCATACCAGCCCCAGAAGGTTACTGAAGGCCTGTTAGATTGGCAAAAGAGTGGTAATACCTAGTGACAGAAGGAGACAGACACCATCAGACGGTGTCGGGATGAAGTTTGACACTATCAGTCACATTGTGAAATGTGCGTATACCATAATTTGATACGGCTTTAGGGATTTAGCTATACAAAGGACGCCATGTTTATCACACTATTATTTCTTTTCCTTTAATTAATTAATTTATTTGGCAGCGCTTTTGTTGTGCTTGTGGAATGGGAGCCCCTGGGTGGAGCAAATGGTTAAGCGCTCACCTGCTAACTAAAAGGTTGGAGGTTCTAGTCCATCCAGGGGTGCCTCAGAAGAAAGGCCTGACAATCTACTTCTGAAAAATCAGCCATTGAAAACCCTGTGGAGCACAGTTCTACTGGGACACGCATGGGGTCACCATAAGTTGGAATCAACTCCACGGCAGCTGGTTTTACTGGTTAAAGGGGAAGGGGAAGAACTCTACTAAAAGTTAGCTCCTGCTTCCTATAAACCCTCTCCACCTCCTCAGTGCTGTCCTTCTTCCAGGAGATATCAGTTATAAGAGTAAGGTTGTATCTTTGATGTTGTAGGAAGCAGTAACATTCAAGGATGTGGCTGTGGTCTTCACTGAGGAGGAGCTGGGGCTGCTGGACTCCACCCAGAGAACACTGTACCGAGATGTGATGCTGGAGAACTTCAGGAACCTGGTCTCTCTGGGTGAGGACAGGCACCCTCTGTAACTGAGCATCAGCCCCTGGAATAGTGTTTCTTAGCCAGTCTTTGTTATAGGGGCTGTCCTATGCATTGTAGGATATTAGCAGCATGCCTGGCCTCCACCCACTATTTCAAGGCTTTGGGAAATTTAAGGACCCAAGCTTTCCAATCCCGTTGGAGCATAAAGAGAAGACATTTCTGATGTTTGCCCCAAGGCAAAAGTTTATCTTTCTAAATGAACTGTAAGTGAGCAATTGAGCTTGACTGCTCCTGGCTTCTTATTTCATATATCCTGCAACAAATGGTGGGTCATGATCCACTGACAGGTCATGAAATTTTTTCAGTAAGTTGCATCAGCATGTCTGTAATGAAATAGAATAGAGCGGCAGTATCCAAGCTCCTTAGCCAGAATGGTACGCACTGTGGTAATAACTGCAGCTGCTTGCAAAGTAATGGGACACTCTGGAAGGGATGTGATGATAGAAAAAAAAAAAAATTGGTTAGAAACAGGTCATTTAAATCTTTTATTTCAGTCACTTACATATATTTGTGTGTGTGTGTCCTGGCTCATGACAGTAAATGTATTTCTTACAATGGGTCACAATAAAAAATGTTTGAAAAACTGTTTTGGTGGAGGGGAGCTTTTGATTTACGGGCTTGGAGCCAAATTTTTCAGTAATCTTTGCCATTAATGTTTTCATTTAGACAAATCTCCTTGTCTGTTCACAGGACACCAGTCCTTTAAGCCAGATGTGATATCACAGTTGGAGAGAGAGGAGAAGCTTTGGCTGAAGAAGCTTCAGACCCAGAGAGGCAGGCGTTCAGGTGAGAACGATGTGGCTGAGCGTCCTTGGAGGGAACAGCCCAGTATTCTGCCTTTATTCTGGAGAGTCTCTCCTCCACACAGCAGTGAGAGACCCTGTGAAAACATCATGTCGCTCCTCTGCTTCAAACTCTCCACTGGCTTCCCATTTCACCAGAGTAAAATCCTGGCAGGCCCTGTGATGTTTGCTGTTGAATCGATTTCCACTTATGGTGACCCCATGTGTTACAGAGCAGAGCTGCTCCAAAGGATTTTCTTGGCTGTGATCTCAGTGGAAGCAGATCATCAGGCCTTTCCTTCCTCAGTTCTGCTGGGTGGGTTCAAACTGCCAGCCTTTAGGTTAGCAATTGAGTGCAAACCGTTTGCGCTGCCCAAGGACCTCACCTTCCTTGATCATGCTACCTTTTATTTTTAATATTAAATTTTTTTTGGTGAAAATATACACAGCAAAACCCACTTCCATGTCACAGTTTCTAGACATAATGACCAGTGACATCACATGATGATCAGTGACATCGGTTACATTCTTCACATTGTGTCAACATTCTCTTTATTTCTGTCCTAGTTGTTTCACGTCCATTTACTTAATCTCCCTGCCTCCCAACCTTATCATCTATGTTTTAAAATAGCTGTTGAGCCTTTGGCCTTGTATGTATGTGTGTATGTGTGTGTATGTATATGTATGTATATATATAGGCTGACAATCTTTACTCTTTGGGCTAAACTGTTACTTAGTTTAAAGGCAGCTTCAGGGATAGTTTCAATTCAAGGTTTGAAAAGCAACTCAGGACCATAGACTTGGGGAATGCTGTAGCCTCAATAGGTCCAGTAAGTCTGGATTCTTTAATAATTTGAAGTTCTGTCCCACATTTTTCTCCCTTTTTTATCAGAATACATCTATTGTGTCCTGATCAGAGAATTCAATGGTAGCTGGGCACCATCTAAATTCTTCTGGTCTCAGAGTGGAGGAGGCAATTCATGGAGACAATTAGTCCTGTAGTCCAGTTTCTTCTCTGATTCTTGGGTTTCCTTCTTTCTCTTTTGTTCCAGATGAATAAAGACCAATAGTGGTATCTTAGATGGCCACTCACAAACTTTTAAGACCCCAGACACTACTTACCATACTGGGAGGTAGAACATAAACTTTAAGAACTGTATTATGCCAGTTGACTGGATTGTTCCACAAGACCATGGCCCTAAATCCCCAAACCAAGAGAAATAATCCCATGAGGTGATTGGTTATATCTAATGGGCATCAGCATGTGTAGCCCCCACCCTGCCCTTTTTTTTTTTGGTTGTTGTTATTACTGTGAAACTGTACACAATTTAGCATTTGCCTATTTGTCCCTTTTGCTATGTACAGCTTATTGACATCAGTTACATCAGTCATGCTGTGCAAACTTCACCACATTTGGTGCCACCTTTCCCATTTCTGTAAACAAAAAGTGACTACTGCCTAGGGAGTACTTCTCCCTTTTCCCATCCCCGCTTTCACCCCTGGCAACCACTAATAAACGTTAGTTTCTGTATATTTACCTATTCATGTCATTTCGTAAAAGCAAGAACATATGATATTTGTCTTTCCGTGATTGACTTGTTTATTTCGCTCAACATAATGTCCTCCAGGTTCATCCATGTTCCATGATATTGTGGGAACTCATTTTCCTTTATGGCTGAGTAATATTCCATTGTATGTATGTATCACATTTTACTTATCCATTCAACTGTTGATGGTCACTTAGGTTGTTTCCATCTTTTTGCTATTGTGAATAGCGCTGTGATGAACATAGGTGTGCACATGTCTGTTCGTATCACTTCTATTAGATCCCTAGGGTATGTACCTAGGAGTGGAATTGCTGGGTCATATGGCAACTCTACCTCTAGTTTTTTGAGGAACCGCCAGACTGTTTTCCACAATGGCGCCATTTTTCATTTCCACCAGCAATGATGAGGGTTCCAATTACCCCACATCTCCTCCAACACTTGTTATTTTCTGTTTTTTTATTTTTTTCTTAGCTATTCTAGTGTGAATGAAATGGTATCTCATTGTGGTTTTGATTTGTGTTTCTCTGCTGGCTTCATTCTACATTTTTCTCCTCTCACTTCCTCCTTCCTTAGTTTGTCCTAGGCTCACCTGTTCCTCAGATACGCCAATTACGTTTCTACATCAGAGCTTTTTACTGTCTTTTCTCTGGCTAGACTGGTTTATCTCTTAAACTTCCTAGCTCCCTTTCTTGTTTCATTCACGTCTCTGCTCAGAAGTCATTTCATCAGAGGCCATTTCTTTCTTTCTTTCTTTTTTATTATGCTTTAGATGAAGTTTACAGAGCAAATTAGTTTCTTATTAAACAATACACATATTGTTTTGTGACATTGGTTGCCAACCCCACGACATGTCAATACTCTTCCCTTCTTGACCTTGGGTTCCCCATTACTCATTTCCTGTCCCCTCCTGCCTTCTCGTCCTTGCCCCTGGGCTGGTGTGCCCATTTAGTCTCATTTTGTTTTAGGGGCCTGTCTAATTTTTGACTGAAGGGTGAACCTCAGGAGAGTGACTTCAGTACAGCATTAAAAGGGAGTATGGGGGCCATACTCTCGGAGTTTCTCCAGTCTCTGTCAGACCAGTAATTCTGGACTTTTTTTGTGAGTTAGAATTTTGTTCTACATTTTTCTCTAGCTCTGTCCAGGATCCTCTATCGTCATCCCTGTCAGAGCAGTCGGTGGTGGTAGCTGGGCACCATCTAGTTGTGCTGGACTCAATTCATCAGAGGCGTTTTCTCACTGCCCTGTTTAAAATGTCATCTTCCCTTCATTGTCCATGCCCTTGTTGTTATTAGTTGCCCTCGAGTCAATTCCGACTCATGACATTGCAGAATAGAACTGTTGCCAAGTAGAACTGCTCCAAGGGGTTTTCAAGCCTCTGACCTTTCAGAAACAGATTGCCAGGCCTTACTTCTGACTCACAGCAACACATAAAAAACCTGTTGCCATCGAGTCAGTTCTGACTCACAGCGACCCCATAGGACAGAGTAGAACTGCCCCGTAGGGTTTCCAAGGAGCAGCTGGTGGATTCAAACTGCTGACCTTTTGGTTAGCAGCTGAGCTCTTAACCACTGTGCCACCAGGGCTCCATAGAGACACATAGGTGATGTAATTCTTTGTTTTTTTATGAAATGAAGCTCATGCCTTGAAAAAAGTCACACAGCTTGTAAGTGGGTAAATCAGGATTTGAAGCTTGTTTGCCCTTGGATTTTGTTATTGTTTGTTGTTGTTTCTAAATAGCAGTTTAATTTTCAGTTTAGTTATATGTGTTTTTTTTTTTTTTTTTTTTTCACCTGTTTGCTCTTACTAGAGCCTTTGCTTAAAT